GGAAACAGTGGGGCTATAAGTTTTAAGCTAAGTCCTGTTTTTATGAGCTTTTCAGCTTAGACTGGCAGAATCAAGATCTTATGGATCTGGCCTGGAGTTTGCAATCAAACTTGAGGCTTGTTTGAAACTCAGTTCCTGACCATGGAAATGCATCCATCACTAATCTTTACATGCCGTTTGTGCTTCATGCACGCTTTTTACTCTTTGTCTCTCGGTGGTGCCTGCCAATCGTTTAGAGCTGTCTCAGTTTTTCACCTTGAGCCTTCCTTTGCTGGCTGGATGAGCACAGCAGTACTGGCCACGAAAGAGTGCAAAACCTGGGGGCAAGGAAATGCAGTGTGTGTTTGTGTGAATGTGTGTGAGCATTCCTATAGCCCTTCTAGGCCTACGTAGAGACACACAGAAGGAAGCTCAAATAACGTATGTCTTTATTTAAGCTACACTTGGTAACATATTATTTCCTCTCCATTTCACTGCTGGCAGTTAGCTTGGCACTCAAGAATTAAGGAAAGATTACAGTGATTTTCTTCTGAGCTCTGCTTATCAGTGGGGCTCCAGGGATGAGCCTGACTCAGAGGCGCTGCGTGGTGGGTAAATGGACAGCCAGGGAGACACAGTATTCCAAGAACACTTGGGAATCTGAGATGCCTTCTGCATATCAATGCTTTCCCACACCAACATTGTTTTATTCATTATCCAATGAACTGCACAGCTAACGTGCCGTAGCTAAAAGTGGTCCCAAATGGCTCGCATCTACAGGAAAGCAGAATACCTGCACTCACAATTCTCTCCTGGGAAGATGAAGATTCTCTTTTTAGGGGACTCTGAGGGTTGTTGTTTTTTTCTTTTAATTTGTTACTGCAGCTGGAATAACATTTTAAAAAGAAATGGCAATTTTTCAAAAGCAGTATTTCAAAGAAATTGCTTTGGTCACTGGTGGCTTGTGATCCACTTGTGACTGTCCCTGGGGTAGAATGAAGGAAAGAAAAAGCCCAACTAGAAATATAACTGGAGCGACTGTACTATTTAGATCAGGGAAGATCAGTTGTGTGTTTGCAGAGAGGGAGAAAGGAGAGATGATATATACAGATGATATATGAGTGAGGAATTTTAACACACAAACAGCTTTAGCTTGAAGAAGGTGTCCTATACAGTACATAAGACACAGAGCACATGGACTCCTGCCATGTAGCCCCCTCACGTATACAGTGCCCCCGGCAGGTATGGACAGCAGAACCTCCTGTAGCTAATGCGCTGTGGTCACAGGACAACTTCACTGTACAATAACTAAAGAGTCACTATACACAAAACCTCAGCCTGCAGATCGCAGTGGGTTGAGCCAATTCATCCTGCGTCCCTAGGACTGGCATTTCACGACATCTGTGTTCACTGCTGTCGAGTTCCTCTGTGGTCTCTGGAGCACAAAGACGTGTTGTCTCAGCAGTGCAATGTGAAAGGTCACATGCAGGAGAGCCTGACAGCTATGGACCCTGCGTTACCACCTCAAGGAAAGGGAGACC